GCTGACACTCTATCAGTCTGAAAACTGAATACCATATGTTCATCAAATACTGCTCCAACTCTTTTAAGTTTTATGGCATTGATACACTCCCAATGTTTCTCTGTAGTAAGCACGATCCTTATACATCTGGTTTGCACAATTACCACAACCCAGGGTGGCTTGTCTAAGCTTTCATGGGTTGCAGCGTGGGCATATGGCCACTTTAAATATTCAGCTCTGATAGGAACTGCCAGTTTGTCATGTCATCTGAACCCAGTGCGGGGATTAAACAAGGGAAAGACTCTGTTGTTTGTTTGCTTGTTTTACCCCTGTGCATGGGGGTGGGGAGAATTTCAGTATGAAACTAGGAGGGGCTTAAATCCCCTTATGCATGAGAAGCTTGCTGATTCAGCTCATACAGGGATCAAGCTGGTTGCCTGGAAGCACAGCAGAAACTATGAGAAGCAGTTGGGTTTTCAGGTACCATGGAACCCACTCTGTTGGCTTGGCACATCACAACAAGCCACCCTGGACAACTGAACAACAAGCTAGGGTCACTTGTGCATGCTTATCAGACTATGCTTGAGTCACTGAGCTGGGTTTGGACAGCACAGCAAGCCACTCTAGAACAAAACAGGGTAACAAACTACCACGAGCTGTCTTCTTGTAACATGGAAGACATGTCAATGGCTGGGTTCAGACAACATGGTAACTCAAACTCTTGTCAGCTGTGTCTAGGCAGGCTGTGTAGGCTGTGTTGAAACATGGGTGATTATATTGTTGAAGTTCAGGTGTGCTCACAAGCCATGGTTAGCCAAGTACAAACAAACCACAGTTCAAACCCAACAACAAATCATGGGTTCTCTTCATGGGCTGTCCATGGTTAACAAATCATGGTTTGTTAGTGTGGCTGAGTTCAGACAACGTGTCGCCATATTTCAATAGCAAACCTCAGCTGAGCAACAACCTGCACTAACAACCTCATGTGTGCATGGCAGAGCCTACCTGAGGATTTCCAGGAGCAATGCATGTTCCTGTTAAATTTTCCAACTGTTGAGCATCCATTGTGGATGAGAAAACAGAAGCAGCTGCACCAGCACTCTTCTCCCCACAGTATGGAGACCATTTGTCATCTGTGCTACAGCTGCTAATTCAGTGGCACAGTAAATTTTGAAGTGCGGGCCTTCTTTGTGACAGTCCCGATAACCACATCCCCGAAAGAGCCCAAGTGCAGGTGGCTGTTGTGATCGACATCAACTCCCCAGTTGTAGGAGTTTTCATCTGCCAGGAACAGGTCTTCTGCAAAGCTAACCTGGTTTAATTGCTCAGTCAGGACCAAGGCCCTGCTCCCACACCTGGCATTACTGTGCATTGTTGTTGGAAAAATCTACCCTAACCTGCGCCTTCTGCTTTTAGGGATGCTGCTAAGCTCAGCAGGAACCGAGAAGACCAAGGGGAGCAGCATGGTCAATGGTCCCTGCTGATCCAAAACGCCCCGGTGCTTCAACCAGTGAATCCTGGCTCCACTATAAAACTAGTGGCCATACAGTATTTGCACTGTGAGCGACAGATATGTGACAAACTGTGCTCACTGTGGTTGCTCTAAGACGGGGGCAGGAAGAAGGTAGATCTCCAAATACTTTGGTGTTCACCTCCAACATTCCTGACCAGTGACCCTGTTGGCAGAGGCTCCTGGAAATTCAAGTCCCAAACACCTGGAGGTCTATCTTTGGCCCACCTCAGCTTTAAAACAGGGGTCATGAACCTTTTTCAATTAGAGGGTCAAAGTGCAACATGGGAAAGATTATAGGAGCCGCTCTCCATCTACAGTTGGGGTCCAAGTGTTATTTATTTATTTATATTGTGATTTATATCCTGCCTTTCTCCTACAAAGGGCTCAAGGCAGCTTACATCATTCTCCTCCTCCACCTTATCCCCACAACAACAACCCTGTGAGGTAGGTTGGGCTGAGAGTCTGTGACTGGCCCAAAGTCACCCAGGTGGCTCCATGGCTGAGCGGGGACTCGAACCCAGATCCTCTGAGTCCCAGCCCCATGCTCTTGACCACTACACCACACTGGCTCTTATTACAGTCCTTTTAGGCCTGCTCAGGAACAAAAAGGACAAGGCTTCCATGCCCCTATTTGGAAGTAAGGAGGACCAGATCCTTCAGCAGCAGATTCATATAGCAGCCACTAAATGGCTGCTCATAAGGAAGTGCTTCCTGCCTGCAAAATGTGCCCTATGGGACAGGAGATCGCAGGCCAGCTGCAGATTCTCTGCCCTGGCTCTGAAATTCCTTTCTTCCAGAAGTCTCCCGATTCTTAAAGGTAAGATTAATAATGAGTCATACTGAGTCTTTTAGTATCTTCAGAACTCTCCACATACGTTTTCCGAGTTGTTCTAATAACAGCCTTATAAGGTAGGCCAGCACAGTTATTCCCCAGAAGAGCAGGTAAAGAGGGCTGGGGTCTCCGGGGCTGCCTAAGTTAGCTGTTGGCAGACGTGATGTCCGAATGTAGGGATTCCTGGCTTTTTGGCGCAATCATCGAGCCACTCCTGTTTCACTATATGAATTCTTTGCCAAAACACCAAAAGCAATTGGGGGCATGCCAGCATTCAGTGATCAGGACTTAATCAGCTGCAAGGGAAGGGGGAGTTTAAAATGACTTCGGACCTTGTATTATTTTTTATTCCTTGATTCCTTTGCAATTATTCCTGTGCAGTCCCACACTGAGAAGTGTATTTCAGATTGGACACTGCACACTGGAACAAGTAAAATGTGCAAAGATGGTTGTGTACAACAAGAAGAATGAGGAGGAAAAGCCTACCTAAGTTTGACAATGTCGCTGTGATTCTGGCAGGAATAACTCAAAGGGATGCCCATCTTTGCAGCATCCTGGTTTTTGTGCATGTGTTGGATGTGTGACAAGGTGGCTTGCTGCTGTCGCTGTCGGACTTGAGCGATGGCTGAGGAGATGTGATTTTCTCTCCCTCTCTCTCCACCAAAAGATTGACTGATGATCAAAACTACCCATGTCAGTCTGGCAGTTGGGGAACTGTTGTTGATTGTGGGCAGCCAGCTGCACCTGTCAGTTGTCTCCAATGAAGGGTTGGTGGAATTTTGAACCACTCTGATTGTGTGCTATGCCCACCTCATGTCAAACTCCATTTGCAGATGGTATGTTTCAGGCTGAGGTCATTCTCCTTAAACAAAGCTAGATCTACCAAGATGTTGCACCCACGTTGACATGCCTGTGACGAATGGGCTTAACTTTTATTCCTCAAAATTTCACGGTTCCAGAACAACCCCTGGGATGTATTTCTTCAGGGATTCCAGAACATACTGAATGTGATGGCCCAATATTTGAGCAGCAGAGCCTGAAAGTGAAAAACAGGGCATGAAACGCCAGTCTCCATGAGACAAATGTCTCAGAAAATTTTTCCTACATATTTTCTATTTGCTAGAATTGGTGTGAGATAGAGTGGACCTTCCTTTCTGAGAAGTCTTGCTCTAACTGGTGAACTGGAACCAAAAGAAAGCAGCAATGTGGCAACTGGATTTGATGGCAGAGCTTCAGTTGGGTGAGAGTTAGGATCTTGGCCCACCATTCTGTCCTTTGCCAGAGCTAGCTGCCAAGCAGGGATTGGGTGGGAATTGCATGCCTGCTGTAGTATTTTGGGAGCACAGAAAAGGCATCCGGTGTGACATGAGTTGCAGTGTTCTGCTTCCTGAGAATAATGTGGATTTTTGTTTGCTGCAAATTTCTATGGCTATCAAGAAGTGGTTGAAAGTGTGTTGACAATACTGACTGAAAACTGAGGACAGATTGAAGCTAAATATAATTTCTAGTGCATTGATTAAAGCATCAGAACACTGCATGCCATGCTGCTTGGCTTCAAGACGAACAAACAATGGGAAATAACGCTTGTTGCAGACTGATGCAAAATTAACTCCATTTAAGACTCTATTTGCATAATTTGTATCTTGCAGCTTTTTGGCACAGGATCTGGATTCCCTGGGCAAGGAATTTTAACCTTTTCAGGAAGACGCAGACCGTCTTGGTCGTGCTTAACTCTAGGCTGCCTCTAGATGAGGCTTTACCTTGTAATTACGCAATCCTTAAATGTCATGCAGTTCCGTTGACTGTATCTTCCATGTATAACTCTCCCATGTTTTGCCATTGCTTCTTCCATCTTTTTCTTACCAGGAAAACCGTATCAGGCTGGAAAAGATGAACTAGATGAACAATGTCTTTTGATTTTTAGCCCTGGGAGCCCTGTACAGAACCACTCCCAAGACGACTGTTTCTTCTGATGGCTGACGGCAGACCTCAGCAGTCTCATGTGGTCCCTTTTGCGGATTCATACAATGCTCTGTCAGCTGGCAGATACATTGTGGAAGAATCAATCAATCCCCTATTCTATGCCCAGCAGTACCTCCGTCTTGAGAAAGCCAAGTTTTCTCAGCTGGGGATTTGTATGGCTGGCACCCATGCCATGTCCAATCCACCAAGTTTAGTTCTAAACTCCTTTTGTTATCCAAACACTCTTCACCTTTTCCTAAAGCTAAAAAAATAATCAACCCTGGTGAACACTGTGCAACAAGCAAAATGCCTGAAGAACAAGAATATGAATTCAAAAGTCAGCAAGGGCAATGCTTTCCCCCGGTAGTCTTTGGATCCGACCTCTAGATAGGAGCTCCGTGGATAATTAGCTCCACTGGGACCAAAGACATTCCTAGGGCAGATCCACACATTATGATAAATAGGGGGTGGGTGCCTCTGCTCCATAATGTGATCTTCCCTTCTCTTGATTTGGTGCAAGTAGTAAACCTGCGTAGCAAATCCAAGCTGTTATGTCAAACTTTAAAGTTCCTAAGTTCTGTGAAACTGAGAAAGCTGTTTGTGGAGCAATCCCACTGCTCCGAATCCTCCTTCGAAAATCTAAAACTGAGATTCTCAAATCAAACTACAATCCCAAACAAACAATAAAGAATAAAACCCCACGTTACTGCACAGTTTCTGAGTTTGGCTAGTTTTTATTTTTACATTACACAGTGGGGCACTGAAAATAGATTTAAAGTGCATACAGAGGAGCTATGGATAGGAGATCAAGTTCCGGTCTTAAAATCCTGGGGTAGCAGTCCTCAGTTCCTTCTGCTCGGGGCACATCCTTAAGACCAACCTGCAAAGTAGTTTGTTTGTTTTTACTGTTGTCCCTTAAGAACATGAGAAGGTGCCTTACGCCAAGTCTTCTGGCCATTGATTCACCCCTTCCACCACTGTCAATCCTGCATGGCAACTACGGCTTGGAAAGTCAGGGCTTCCTCATGGCCCTGTCAGGAGGTGCTGAGGATTCAGCCCAGGACCTCTGCTTTTCTCCCTCGCTTTCTCCTTGCTTTTGAGAACAGGATGAGCAAGTTCCAGTTCCTCAGTAGCAGTACAGGAGAAAGCACTTTAGCAGGTACAGGTTGCCAGGACAGAGGTGAAAATGGAGATGTCGGACCTGCTACATTCCCTCTGCCTTCACAGCTCTTTTAAAAGTAAAAGGAGCCCCGCTCTCTTTTGCACCCTTCTCTTCCTACCCTCATCTCTTTTTTGTTATCTAACAGTGCTGGCCTGACTACTCCAACTCAATTTAGGTCAGGGTCTGGCTCTACTGCAGCTCCTAGACCTCCGCAAACAAGGTTGTTCTAGGAGATGACCAAGTATTGTTTAAGCTAAGATTGCAGCAGGACATGTCCAAGCCCTAGATTTGGTGGTGGTTTTGACTGGGAGGGAAATTCCTAGCAGTTTAACTTAACAACACGGTTTTGCTTCATTTAAATAGCTTTGCTTTTGTTAGAAGAAATAGATTACAACACAAGCTACCCTGGATTTCATGAACTACCCTTCAATGTCTATATCATACTTTTATAAAGAATTTCTCCAAAACTGAGGAAAAGGCAACTATCAAAAAGTTTGGAGATAAGGCCAGATATTGGTTTATTCCATCCACTGGAGAAACGTTTCTGTTCTCCAAAGCCAAAGTTCAAAATGATGAGATTTCCACCACATTAGTGAAACAATTTCACAAGTAACACATGTGTACAGAACAGCAAATTCACTACAATGCTTGTTTGCAGGTTGCATCTAGAGCTAGATTAATTACACAGTGCTTCAGTTAACTCATTCAAGTATGTTAATTTAAAATAGCTCTTGACAGATACTTGGCTGTGAGAAGAAAATGTACACCAAATACATGAATATAAAATTAACATATTTTACAAAGAATTCAAAAGATACTGACTACATCTATTGATCTGAGCGATCATTTATAACAATTAGGGATGCCACATGTTGGATTATGGGACGTACGTTGCCATCTAGCCTCAGCCATACAGAGCAGAATATTCGTTTGCTCAAAGAACAAAGAGAAAATGAGCATCAGAAATTCCAGATGAATTAAACAGAAATTCCATCCTGCTGGGAACTTATAAAACCCTGTGCGGAATACAGATATTATTACTTGGTTGTCTATTAAGTCATAGGCAAAGCTTTCAATATAGTACAATAATGTGGCATCCCAAGTCCTTTCAGTCAATAGATATACCATTTGTCTACAGACATTGCACAGTACTTTTCTTCACTAGACAACTGCAATTAAAAGTGACATGCAACTCTACACAACCCTGAAAAAGAAAAAAAGAAAGAGAGAAAAAGAAAAAGAAAACAAAGTAAAACAAAAAGCACCACAGAAAATGATTCTCACAGACCTACTGGAAAAGCAGATGTTTATAATCGTCAAAATATTAAAAAACACTTAAACATGCGCGCACGCACACACACACGAGCGAGAGAGCAGAATATATATAAACATATATTGCACAAAAAATCTAATGTTTCTTGTTGAAATCCAGCACTTGCTCTTGTATCCTAGTAACTTCATTATTTTATCTGAGATGCAGAAGGGGGTAGGTGTGGGGGGTGACATTTCAACTTGGAAAGTTACAATTGCCCCTCTGCCTCAGCCCATCCACCCATATTAATACTGATTTTATTATCAAAACGGGAAGAGCAAATGTTCTCAGAGTCATACCATTTTATTGATGGTTGACAATAGGGTAGAAACTCAGACTTGTACCAAGTGCTTTCCAACAATTCTGCTATAACATTTTCCCACCTGGCAGAATCTTACAAAGGCCCCTTGGTCCAAGGCTATTTCTAATTCTTGTGGTATTAATAGCTGATTACACAAATGAACACACCTTTCCCCCACACGGCTTCCATTTGCCAATAAGCTAATCTTCCTTCTCTGCACAAGCTATGTAAAAGCCTACTTTTAAGAATGCAATCAGTCTAAGTGCACACAAACAAGTGTTCTTCTTGCTCCAGTATATCTAATATAATTTAGGCATGATCCACCGGTAGGTTTTTCCATGAAAGCTTCACCAAACCCAATTCGTTTTAATGGGACATGTGCAGGGAAATCTCCTGGTGGAACACACCCTTTATCTTTCCTCACTATGAAAATTAACACTTTCAAAGGGAAAGTCAGTGCAGACTGTGCATTCAGTCAATTGGAAAACGACTGCTGACATCTTTGGGAGCAGAGTTAGTCTGTAGTGACAGCTTTTGATAACCCAACTCTTAGAAACCAGAAAGCAGCACTTTGAAATACTGTTTTGAAAGGCTAAGGGACAGTAAATTTAATTTTAAAAGGACCCTCTGTCCACTATTCACAAAAGTGTGTATAATATTTTGCATAATATTTAAAATAGGTGACCGACGTATTATTTTAGCTCGATCTGCATGCACAGATGCACAGGTGGAAATGTAAGATCTTCTGCTGATTTGAACAGCTTTCAGTTGTGAAACCTGGCAAGGGCTCTTTTGTGATTCCAGGTACTATTTCAGGGGATGGAAAGCAGGCTGTGGAGCAGCCTATTTGCTAGCTATATAAGCAACTTTGTGGTAAAGCTGTTTGCATCTATGGAACAGCTTTCTCCATTCATGGCACATATATTTACAGGTTGTCAAGGAAAGCCCTTGATGGATGGATCTCTGTTCACGTCGTACAGCATGAGATCTTGGATGCCAACAGAATATTTCACGTTTAGAAATTTATTACAAGGGGCTAAATGAGTTCCTTTACCATATAACCAATTAAAACCATTATGGGTATTCAGTAATGTATAGAGTAATTATTCCATGAAAGGTAAGGGTAGATACCTTAATTCAAACTTCGGCATGATTAGGCTAGAACTTTAGTAGAACTAAATGAAATGCCTTTAATATTCTTAAATGAGTTCAAAGAAACAATCTAGTATTTTGTACACGAAAGGAGGAATCTGTGATCCAAAGCATTTAAAAGTATTGGAATTCCTGAGATAGGGTTTTTTTTAAACCTGAAGCCTGTGGGTATCATATTAAATACGGTAATGTCAGAAGGCCCTAAGTCACCAACATCCGAGTGAGTGAAAGCCAGTGATGAACTGGGGCTGGAACAAGTGGTTTTCCTAGGTCATTAGAGTCATCATCAAAGAGTGACAGAAATGGCCCTATGGAGAGTTCTTCCTAACACAGGTGGAGCTGAAAGCTATTGCTGGCTAAAGGTCTGAGCAACTGCTATTCTGATCCTTCTGTTGTTAGTAAGAACCTAGCTGACAATTAAGCAGGGCAGACACTTAAGGCACAACTATTGGTCTTGTAACAGTCATTTTTGCCTGATAACAATGGTATGACTGTGTGAGTTTTATAATCCTGGCAAACACGCATGTTTAGTGCAGACATAAAATGAAGCTGTATTTCAAAGGGTCATCAACAAGACACAAAATTACTCAAGCTACTGTAAGAATTACATACAAATGAGATCAGACATTAGAGGGAATTCTTAAGTCAATGAAATGATACTGTGAGTTGTGTAAAACTGGCAACTTTTGCCAGAAAACTCTTAGCTCCCTCACATCTCACTTGCTACCTTCTTCTAGGGTGTGATTCTTAAACCATCCATGCAGGTTGTTGCCACTCTTAGTGGATTTTTAAAAAAGAAGATTCCCTTTATGGTTAATAATGGGAATCTTCCATCCACCTAGAATTTCCTTCCTCATAGGTTCGAATGAGAACCTTTTTATTTCATCTGTATTTGTCCACAGAATCATGACTGTGAAATGTTCACCTAGATTTACTCTCTTTAACCAAGCAATCCAGATCATTCATACAACAGCGATTATATAATATGAGAGGACAACCCTACCTAAATATGGTGGGGAATATGGTGAGACAGTAGCACCGGACAAGGAAGAAGGACCATATATATGGGCTGATAGTTCCTGAAAAAAGGATACTCCGGTAGGTTTCCACGTGAAAAAAAGTTTCTATATGCTACTATTAGTCTACTAGCAACTTTATAAATATGTGGGAACCACTTCCAATGGCTTCTAAAGATATGGTTTATTGACAGGTTTGAAGGATCCTTGGAACAACAATGATAGGTTTGTTCTTAAGGTAGACTTCTCAGAAGACAATGTTGACACTGTGCTGCATCCTATTACAGGATAGTACCTGAGTTAATGGATGGTAGGAAGACTGTATTGGACAGATCTTTTTAAAGGCTCACCTTTTGACTCCTTTGCTTATAACTGGAAAGATTTTCAGACTTACTATGAGAATTTTTTTTTCAGCAGCAGATCTTATTTTTGTCTAAAAAAGAAACCGTATAATGGCTAACAATGATCCAGCTACTTTTACACCACTTTTAAAAGTCACCCCAAAAGGTTAAATAGGCATGAACCCAGTAGGGCAGAATATTTTTAATACAGAATTATTAATCAGGAAGATTCCATTCCAGTAAAAATCATCTGTTCCACTCAAACTTTTTTCTTTCAAGAAAATTGAAGATGGAAACTGTTGACAGTGAGCAAGACTGTTAAAAAGTTGTAAACTTCACACTGTATTTGAGCACTTCAACAAGATTTTTTAAAAACCCACAGTACCATTTTTCAGGGTTTGGAAGACAGAGCCAGATTTCCTGCTTGGTTAAAAGGAAAACTTATTGAAGGTAAGTTCAGATAAACCCTTAATGTGATAATAAATTCACCATGAGAGGTTACCTCTCACTGATAAATATTGCTTGGCTATGTGAAAACAGTTACCCCACAGATGACAGTATGTGGTGGAGGGTATAACCAGGTTTTCACAGGACAACTGAATTTACTATATAAAACATGGTTGTGTGAGTAACCGCCAGTAGTCACAGGAGTTCCCGCAGTTTGGAAATGGTCCACATTTCCCTTTGTTCAAGCACATCAGCGCTATGAAAAATGGCATCTCTTTTCCAAATATTAGCAATATATCCTTTAGAATATGTAAATCTGCTCCTATAACTTTAAGGCAATTAGATCATGGATCAACAAGATTTAACCTCTACAGGAAAAAAAATACTGCACTTTTGTTCACTTTGTGGTCAGCAAAATAAAAGACAGCTCCCACCTGTGACGATATGGTTCTTTATGCATATAGGAAAGGGAAACAGTAAAAACGAGCACATGCCACATACCAGATGCAGCTTGAACATGGACTTAAACTAGTACCTTGAATCTAGAACGCATCAGCTGAACAGGGCAACCTGCTTATACCAAGCCAGAACTTCTAGCTCAGTGACTGGCAGCTGCTCCCTGTGGTTTCCAGCAGGGATCTTTCTGAGCCCTAGTTGAAGATACCACGGATTGAATCTAAAGTCTTTTGCATGAAAGCATGTGAAGCGAGCACAGAGTGGCGGCCACACCCCCGGCCCATCCAGGTCCATATGGTGGATGTGGCAAGCAATCCAAGAAGAAATACATTCAAAATAAAAGGGAGCAAATGCACACAGGAAGGCAAAGCACAACTAAACAGAAGATTTGTCATTTCCTTTGTGATCTTTTGGTTCCTTCTGGGATGCAGAATCCTGAGTTGTCTTCCCTTAGTCTCTGGCACGAGTGCATTTCTCCCTCAAAAATATTTATGCCTCATGCCCGCTGCTACTGGAAAGCCTATCACCTGAAATGTTTAAACCATGGTTGAAAGCAGAAGTCATTTTGCACAATGAAACCACTTCATGAAGCAGCCCACCCTCCTCTAGGATTTCGTGTCCTTTCCTAGTTTCTCTTTCCCAAGGAACTAGTGAGGATGAATTTTGGCTCAGGCGTTGGGGCACCTTGTCTTCTGAGGTCCTGCTTAGTGTTTCGTTCCATTTAGTCTTCTTGACATGAAAAGGTCCTGGAGAACACAGCTGCATAGTTTGTTCAGATGAGTCTGGAGACTGTGCAGGTATTTTTGGGAAGCCCACATGGTCCAAAATGGAGGCATTGGTGGGACTATCCTTCTTTAGCCCAAAGAGAGAGTCTCTGTGGCTGCTATAACTAACACGCTTCCTTGGCGAGGGAGGAAGCTGCTTCCCACAAAGAATGCTGTCGTCTTGGCCAAAATTCCAGCTGGTGGGATCAGAAGTCTCACTGCTGCAAAGCAGAGCAATATTGCTTACACTTGGTGCGTTGGATTTATTCTGAAATAAAAAGATGCATATCAGAAGAGTGCATTTTGCACCGGTTTTTCTGAAAGAGTCATTTTGGATTGTCTTGACAGAAAACTGGAATATGAATATTGAACAAAATACTAACTCTTTGTCAAATGGACTATCTGCTCTTCATTGTATTGACCATGGGCTAAACTGCATGGCAGCTGATATCTAGTAAACAGCTTCAAACTTTGATTCTCCCATCTCTCTTTCTCATTAAAAAATTACATTCCAATTTAAGGTAAAGAGAGGAAAGCTCTGATCAGTGTTTTTCAATGGTTTTATAGCTGAAGAACACACCTTTGTTTTGCATTAACATTTAGCAGAAACTCAGAGGGTGCAGACAATTTCAGTCGGATTGAAAATTCATCTCTGGAAGTACCATTTCTTGAGCAAAGCAACACTTCTGGGGAATTGAGCTCCAGCCAGAGAGGGGCTTGTTGTCTTTGATTAATCTTTTACCTTAGCATAACTGATCATGTAAACAGCATGGAGATCAGTCTCTCTCTCACACACTCTCTCTCTGTTTGGTCTGGATTTAAAGCTAGAGGCACACTTCAGTCTTCCACTAGCTATGGCATCTGTCTCCAAGAAAGAGCCAGCCCTAGAACAGCATCCCAGAGAGGTGTGCCTGGTGACCACAGACTTGTCCTTTTGTGGCCAGGTGAAGCTCTTTTATTTTGTCAGCCTTTGCAATCTTCATTTTCAAGTATTTTTACATCATTTCAGCCAATGTGAGTACATGTTTATAATCACTGTAAGACATTCCTTTGATGACTTTCAGTAAACAATCCTGCTACCCTTCAGTAAATAAAAAAAATGCCCCCCACATTTGGAATAGTTTTTCCTTGTAAATGACACAGAACTACAAACAGAAGCAGCATTTTGCTTAAATGTCACCCTGAACAGTCAATCTGCATTTGAAAGCAATTACTAGTTAGCAAAGTCTATCGTGGACAGCAGCTCAACTTGCGAGATATCTGCAAATCTAACTGGTTTTTCCAGCATACCATCTAGTTTTGGCAGATGATGAACGATATTCCATCTTTCACATAATTTCTGTTTTGAACTCATTCTGCTAATTATCGACAGGACCACAGAGTTTCATGGGTAGATTAATTCAAATCTGAGTAACGATGAGAAATCAGCTCTGTTAACTCTTTCAAAGGTGCTCATTACTTTAAAAACCTTTAGTAGGCTTCTCACATGAAAGGTATTCCATGTACCTCAGCATTTGACTGCTCTAGGCTTGATTCTAGCATGCACAGTGGGTGCCTCTCTATATCCACCAGGGACTGTTGGTGGTCATGAAAGCATTTCAACAGACCTGGAACCATGAAACACCCTGCGATGGATCCTAAAGGGTGAAGGAGACCCAATTAAATCCACAGAGCTTGAGAGATCTCTGAGAAACCTATGTCCCACTGATTTCAAAGTGTGTACTCAAAGTGTGATTAAAGCTGGATCCAACCCCCTGTTAAACACACCTCTCCTATCACTGAGGGCAGGAAGAGGGCAAGGTACTAACCGTTGTCTTGTAATCAATATCATCCATTGATCGAAAGAAGTCCAGGCTCTTGGCTCCAGAAAGCTTCCCTTGATCAGAACTGTGTGTACTCAAACTGTCCAAAATCTCTCCCAGTAAGTCCATTTCTCCAGGGGAAAAAGAAGTTTTGGCCATTTCACCAGAGTCGTCACTGTCATACAAACAATAAGATGTTTCCTCACTATCTTCTGATGACAATCTAAAGGAAAACAGAAAGCCATTTTAGCACTGACATAGATCAAGATCATAACCGGGAATATGAATCAAAACAAGTTTCAGGGATAATTATAAAGACTTACTTTGACAAAATAAATCACTTCTTAGCCCTTTGTACTCATCATCCAAAGCAAAAAAAAAGCATTCTGCAGACATTGAATATTTGATATTGCCACATATATTTTTGCAATTTATTCAAAATCTTCCCCACCCCTTGTCCTAATATGTCTGATTATTTATGTTCAGATTCACACTGGAGTGATGCTCACATATTCTGCTTTTCTCACACTTGTGAAATACAGTGAGTTGTGAAACATTATCTTTTCTAATCTCCTGAAATGAAAAGAATGCTGCTTCTTGTCCTTTACTTAGGATGGAAAGCTAGGAGATGGTTTACTGCTGTAGGCAGAAAAAAAAGTACAATGTAATGCATTGTGACAATGCCTCGATACATATACCTTTTGTGTGTGAAAATCTCACTTAGGAAAAGCGTAGACCCAGAATTGTTCTTTTGAAGCCTGGGTATTTGCAAATACTGTTTGGTGGCACTCTCACAGCTCTGAGAGCAGAAATAGTTTTAATAAGATCCAGCTGCAATCAGATTTTCTTATGATGGACATTTCTCCAGAGCATACCTATAACGTAACTTGCAGAGCATGCCACCACAGCTTCCTTTACAAAAGAACAGTGTTTCCCAAATGTCTGTTAGCTAAAGCAACTTCTTTTTGAATTTAAAAATTGGAAGAGAGTTTCACCATTAGAGATAACCTGTTTTTAGTGAGTACCAGAAAGATGCATGCCCATTCAGAAGTACCTGCCGCCTTCATCCTGAGTCTCTAATTTGACTTTGCAACTGGCAAGAGGAATCCTCAAGCTGCTACTCAGACACACACCTACAACGGGTACCCCTGTAAGAGCAGGGAACTCTGCCATATCTCTGCATTGGAAGTAATTAGTCCTATACATTTCTAACTGGAATTGCAACTCACTGAATTCAGTGGCAGTCACTTGCACCCTGAATGATCTAATTAGATGCAGCAGATTTAAGTCTAAGCAGAGGGGGATTAGAAGGGGAGAAGCACAGATCAAGAAATCATGTATGTGGTGAGGATCTTCCCTTCTGGGTTAATGTTTAATCAAGCAGTTTCCTTATGATGCATCAGGGTGCAGTGTCCAAGAGTTGGATAGAAGGCAGAGTTTAATTCCCAAAAGCTCCTGCTAGTGGGCCAAAGACCAGAAAGGCTGGCGGCTGGAGGCAATCACATCTGGAGATCTACAGAAACTCATCCCTGCTCCACCATGCAGGAGCAGCAGTGGCCTTTGCGTCTATGAACAGACACTCCTAGTGTCAGCACGCTGATGCAGAAGGGGGTGCGAATAAGAATTTATACTTATTATTTATTTCTATCCCACCTGTTCTCCTGCAAGGAACTCGGATTCATGTGTTCTTGCTCCACATCTCCAGTGATCCTCACAACAGCAACCCCATGAGGTAGGTTAGGCTGAGAGTGAATGACTGGCCCCAGGTCACCCAGTGAACTTCATGGCCAAGTGGGGACTAGAATCTGGATTTCCTCACTCCCAGACCAACAGTCGAACCACGTATACTAGCTGGCTCTTTTATACACCTGCCCTGCTCCCTTGCACTTTCCATTTCGTCAGCATCCGCAAGCCAACTCTTGGGCAGAGGCAGTGTGAGTTCCACTGGCAGCCTGAAGAGGCCTCCTAGGAAGCATCTATTTGAAATCCTAATCAACTGGTGGCCTTGGATATTTTCACCTGCCAGGTGTGGTGAGGGAATTTGGGTGTGATAAACAGCTGCATCCATCACAACAAGTGAGCAAGTACAGGCGAGGAATGTGGCTATCCAGAGGCATCTTGGGAACTGCAGCAGGGAAGGATTTCTTTTAGAGCATGGCTGAGGTTGAGCACTCATGGACCAATAACGCAGAAAGGCAGCACTCAAGACTTCAAATTCTGTGGTTGAGGGCCAGCTACGCTAGCCCATAACGGACCCGTCACCTTGAACTGCTTCTTGTCATTGTGGATTCAGTTCAAATTAAGTGAATGTTAATTATACTGTGGTCCTAGTCTACCCAATCTAATGTGCATCATCTCTTTATCTAAGTGGTGGAGGTGCTAATAATTTCAGTTTGTGATAAGCTAGTCAAGGTAATTTTTTCCTTATATAATATGCTGTTTCATCCACATACACCAATTCACCTCACAATAGCTCAATCACTTTCTTTCAGATTCCAACAGGCTGCAAGTTATTCAGGTTTCTCTTTGTTTCTCTACTTCTGTGTGTTTACTAATTTTTCTGCAGTATCTGATTTCCCCAGTTTCTAGTAGCATTTTATGTTGTTTCTTCCATAAATCAAGATACTGCTCAGGATTCTTCTGTCATTCTGAACAGTGCCAAATAATTGGTACATTGGTGCCATTTTGGGTGACCCAATGTTTCTCTCAAACTCAGTTGCTGTCTGGAATATAATAGCACATCACAGTTTTCTCCACCCAGAAAAACCAAATAATTTTATTCATTTGCCTTGGATTTTCAACTACTCTGAAGGAGAACAGAATCCAGCTGTGAACTCACTGGGCTTCAAAGCACATTAACTTACTTGCTTCCTCTGTCTATTTCATCTTCAGCATCTTCATCCAAGGCAGAGTCACGATTCCGTGTTCCACTATGAAGATTCCCAAACCGTGACTGCAAAAGGAAAGTCACTCTTTACATCTTTTTGCCACATGTCCTGTAGGCTGCCAAGGGATCCTGAAAGTAGCACTGATAAAAAGACTGCAGTAGTTCCAATCAAGTGTCCACAGAAATTTGTTGTAGTGATATGCGAAGCATGCAAATGAATCCATCATTTATCCCAAACTTTTGAGACCAGATGGATCAACGATAGGCTGGTTCACATGACAGCTTTTCTCCTTCCATGAAGAACAATGGACAAAGCGCCATTGGTTTTGCTGCATTTAAATCATAGTTCAAGCATGATCATATCTGGGATGTATTCACTTAACTGTATATGACACTTTTCTAAAAAAAATCAAGCTAACTTATATTCAAACAACACAGAAATAAAACCATAACTAAGAACACATTAAAATTTAGCAACAGTATACTCAAGCACAATAGAAATATTTTGTATAACCCAGAAAATGGATTACAAAGCCAGCAAGAAAAATACAATGTCATCTACAAAAACACCTTGAGAAAAATTAAGACACTGCTTGTGATATAGTAAGATCCTGGAAATGCCATCCAAAATCAAATGGATTTCACATTTTAAAACAGGGCATTGGTGAGAAATCTCGCCTTAAAAGTAGTTATTTTAAGGAAAGAAGCCCCAAGTGGAGGCCACAAGCAAAAAGTAAGCCCCACCATTGAGAATCCTCACTCTGACCAGTAGTCCACTGAATAAAAGAAATACAAACATTAAACCAGGAACCAGCAAAGAATGGAAAGCACAGGAAAACACCTATTCCTAAGCTGTGATGCTCTCAAGCAAAGAACTAATCAGCAAAAAGGAAGGAATGTGTATTCAAAACAAGGGATGGGATCAATGGCATGCGTGCCTCTCCGTGCATCCATCAGCACACTTCAATTCCATCCCCCTATAAGCTGAACCAAGTTCCTTCTCCTTCCTCTTTCCCATATTATTATTTCCCCAGCATTCTGGGCGATTTACAACAGCACATTAATAATACAATAAAAAATGTACCTTATTAAAGTATCATAAAATGCTTACAATACATAATTTAAAGCCAAAAAATCAATTACTTGAAGAAAATCTTAAGACCTGTTTAAGAACTAGCGGGCCCCAGTACACTAATTGAATGTCCCACAGTAGAGGATGGTCCACTGCACCAAACAGATGTAAAGTTGGTGTCAGGTGAGCTTCAGTGGAGAGCTCGTTCCCTAACTGGGGGGCCACCCCAGGGGAGGCCACCACTGACCTTCTCCTTGTTGCCACCAATCCACCTTGGAGGTGCAGTTGCAGGCAGGTCCCAGAACTTGAAATGCACTCACGGCTCATGCCAGCCAGAGGCTCCTGCCAGAGCTCATCTTGGGGAAGGGCGAAATGGTGCCAACCAGCAGCCTGAAGAGACAGCAGGCTTGTCTTCTGCCCTACACAAATCTGGGGAGGCAACATTTTTTTCTTGGGAGAGAGGACCTGGTACGGAGAGCAGAGTGCTAGAGAAGGTCAGGAGCCATGTAGACTGAGAAGAACTGGGCTGCACACGTGTTCAAAGTGAATGCACAAGAAACCCAAGGTGTTTTTTTTTAAATATTCAAGCAAATAGATGTTTGAGCCATACAAGCATCTTGGTTGCTCCCAAGATGTGCTTTGAGATGGTGAATCAGATAAAGATTGCATCGCGCTTGGAGATTCAAAGGGGAGGATAAGCTTATCAATAGTTATTGGGCAAGGCAGCTACACATTCCCACCTGTAATCGGAGTAGTACATCATTTGCTGAGGAACATGAACAAATGGGCACTGGCACACTCACGTCCTACTTGTGGACTTCCCCACAAGTTGTCGGATCCTTTTCCAGGACTAGAGCACCCTTGGTCTGGTTCCCATCTGAGGTTTCTTAAAGTACATCTATAGAACTATAGGCAGGGCATGGAGATAAAGAAGAACTGTTGCCAGTCACATAGGATGGGAAGGAACTAAGAATTGAGAAGTTCTGGCTTTGTGGTCAGTCAAACAAGCTCAGAGGTATCCTCTCTTTTTTGTCCCCAAGATTTCGGAGTTTCCCTGAGTTGCATGCCCTGTGGAGTAGCTCAGCACTAAGAGTTCTCTCAACAGTCAGAGAAGATGTAGGTGGATTTTCGCACTTTTCTCTGGATACCCAGGACTTAGGTGAAGAAATTACAAGGGGACAACTGAAGACCCATGGAAAAACTGAGAGGTTTTTCAGTAGAGAAAGTGAAATTGAAAGGCGACTGCTTTGGCTCAACTGGAGCCGTGAGCGAGATGCGCACAGGGGAAAAATGTGTATCGTTTATCATCAGTGATATAACAGACAGTATGTAATAGGTGTCTGGCACATAATTTGCAGCACAACTTTTCCAAAAAGATTACTTTCTTATAAAATGCTAAGAAACAACAGTGTAAAAAAAGAGAAAGAAACCCTTAATAAATGCTAAAAGGAAAGCTGTAAATCTTTTCCAAATCTTTACTAGATGAAGTGACATAGAACGCACACCTGCAAAAACTGTCAAAGTCATTTAGGATAACTTTCCCTTACTGATGTCCCCTGCTGTTTGCAGTTCCTTAAGCTTATAATTTCTGTCTTTTCTGTATTTTTAAATGGGCACATTTTTCTTTGCCAGTTTTGGAAAAGGAAAAAAAGCAGCAGAATTCTGTTTCCTTCTTGATCAGTATTCTAATAATAACCAGACCTCTTTCATTGCCTAAAAGAAAGCATTTCTTTCAAGATCCAAGAAACGAAAAGATCCAAGAAAGCTTGGAGGGCAATTGCACAAAGTTAGAAACAAACCTTAACTTCCAATATATACACATTCTGTTTATAAAACTACTTATATTAAACTATATATATGACTGTATAAGTTTCAAATCTTTGTGTTGAATAAACAGGCAATGTTGCTTGCTTTTTGTTACGAAATGTCTTTCATAAAAACCTTATTAAAACATTCAGACTATTTTTATGCTGGCACATCAAAAGGGAAGCCCCAGAATTTTGAATCTCTCTTCCCCCAGGAACCTGTATAATTTCTGGAAGAGGTATAAAACATTTCTCTCTGGGTTACCATTCAATAGCTAGGGTTAACTCCATTCAATTGGGGGGGGTGGGGGGGGGGTGTCTCTTTAAAAAAAATATATATATATATATATATATATATATATATATATATATATATATATTTCCAATACTGCCTATCCTGACTCACTAGAAGAGGGTAGGATAGAAACTGGGCTAGAAAAATCATTTAAAAGGTCATATACAAGCCCCCAAAGTGCCATATCTGTGACGGTCTACACTCCCCAGAATGATCCAGATTCAAATAATGTGTCCTTCATTAAAGAAGACCATGATCGTTGCCTGTTGCTAGCAAGACTGATGCTTATGTCTGGTATTCCAGCACATAGCTGCTACTTACTGTACTATCTAAAAGGTAAGAACAGGTCTGTAGAAGCCACTAGATGCTGCTGGTGATACCCGAATAACAAAATTCGGCGTTTACTTGTATCTTACTGGCACAGCCAAAAGGAACAAGTAGCAATCCTCCTTTCTGAGCCACGGGGAAATGAGCTTGTAAAAATTAAACAGGCAAAATGAGGAGAAACCATTTGAATTTGAAATGAACTCAGCTTTAAAACAAATCACAAAAAATGGACGCCATCTACCTTAGGGAGCAGCCCTATGCATATTTAGACAGAAAAAGGCATGCAGTTCCCAGTATTCTCCTCCCAGAAAATTAGTAAACAGAAATTTAAAAATAATAATCAAAGAGGCACAGAGCAGATGAAATACAATCTTTTACTGGCCCTGCAAAATATCATTTCAGTAATGAAAGCTATAGTGTAAGTGTATTTAAATATCATAAGCTTATTTGAATATGCATAGGCCACCATTTCAACTCTGGTCTATATGAGAACGTAACACAGCCATTTAGTCTACAATTGCTTTTCTTCAAATAAAAGCAAGTAAAGGATTAAGACCAACGAGATGAGTCTTATTTGCAGATAAGTGGGAAAAGTCCTGAAGCCCTGGATTAACAACAATTATGTTGAGCAAGATGAAAATTTTTGTTTTCATGTTCAAAGTCAAACAAGCTACAGGGAAAAGCCTATGACCTTGGCTCCTACTTGGAGGTTTTTCAGAACATCTGGCTAGTCATAGTTGGAAACTCAGTGCTGGATCTTGGTCTCATCCAACAGGGTTCTTCTAATATTCAGAATAAAAGTAAATGTGCCCCAAGTCAGTATAATCTTAAATCCAGATTTACAGATCTGCTTTAAATGATATGAGAATAAAAGGGCTGCTACAAACAGAGCAAGTGGTGTTAGTACTATTTGATTTTGCCTGTCCCTTGTCCCCAATCCACTGTGTCTGAGTAGGGTCTTGGTGTTGTATCAAGTCCATGAAGTTTGGATGACACTGATTAGTTTGATCCATTTCATTCTGGCTTCTGGCCTGTACTTGGGAAACAGAAATTTCCTCGGTTGCCTTGTGTGGACAAGTTAAGACAGATAATAGATGTGGGAGTATGAACTTAAAGTTCTTTCAGACTTCTTAGCAGCTTTAAGTTACCATTAGCCATGGTATCTTCTTCCACCACCTAATCCCAATGAGGCTCTTGATATACTGAACAGGTATTTAGGGACAGTGGTGGAATGGAGAAACATTAACAAACTGAAGCTCAATCCAGGACAGAGTGGGGAAATGAGCTGATCTGAATGGTTTAGATCTGATGAGGTCATATCTAGATATGTGGACCAGAAGTGCTTCTGGATTTGATTTTGTCCATGGATTCCTCAGTGGCATCAATTGCCAAAGGTGCATTTTAGGCCAGTTACTGACTCTCAGCCAGGCGTGCCTCACAGGGTTGTTGGGAAGATAAAATGGAGGCGGATTATGTAAGCCACCATGGATTCCTTGCAGGTGGAAAAAAGTGGGCTATAAAAGTATTAAATGACAACAACATTATACCCTGCTTTCATTCTCTTGCA